TTGCTTGGTTTTTTTTTTTTTTTTGCTTCAAGGGGTTATCTCTCGACTCGAGGAGCTCGTTTCTGAGACGGCTCACGATTGTTGACCTTACACAATGATGTTGTTATAATAAAAGAATCTAATCTATTCCCAGCGTTGAATTCCAAAGCGTTCGTTATTCTTATTTTCCTTATTTCTCGCTCTTAAAGTTTAAAGTTGAAAGTACACGTTTCGCGCTATTATCCGTTATCATCGTTTGAGTAACATCTATCAGCGGAGTTAACGAAACACGTGTTATGAATCCATGTCGTAATGTATTCAAGTGTATGCCAACGCGTTCTCAAACAAGTACGTGTTTGATCAGCTGTAGTTCTGTACGACATTAATATGGCGCGGAATTGCCTACAGCGGGGTAAACAAAATACCGTTTTGAGAATAAAGTATCGTAGGATACAATAACAGCGAGAAATTCTTCGATATGAAAAATATAATAATAATAAGAAGAATAAGAAGAAGAAGAAGAAGAAGAGGAAGAAAAGAAAAATAATAAGAAATTTAATAATTTATACGCGCTTATTTTCCACCTCGTCTCATAGAGCATCGAAGCATCGAAAAGTTTCGATCAACCGCCACGTAACTTTAATTCACCGTCCACTGTCATATACGCAAATATTAATGTGCAAAGCGAATCGGGTAAATGTTGACCCGAGATCATATAAATATTGGTTGAAACATCGGATGTATCACGTGAGATCAACATTAAACGCGAACGTGTTTGCCAATATTAATTCCTCGATAAATGCTTATTCTTTCCTTTCCATCGACTCGTTTCGTCTTCGACTCGTAATTGGGAAAACGCATTGGTTTCGATAGAAATAAATATGGGACAGATTTATCGATATAGCTTATACGCTCGAAGTCGAAATTACGAATTAAAAGTTATACAAAAAATTATACGAAAAGATTTGTTCTTTTTCTTTTTTTTTTTTCAATAAAATCGAAGCTTAGCGAGGCTAGCCTCGCGATGCATATAACGTAAGATTTATGCAGCTCGGTAAAATACATCGATCTCACGTAATATCTAGGTCAATACGAAATCCTGTACATCGCACAATTGAACGTAAGCCAAGAGGCCGTGCAGGCTAAAAAATTATTCCACCGCATAGAAGTGGACCGCGATGAATATCAAGCGCATCCGTTCTCCAAATAATATAATTATATATATATATACATCTTTTCTCATCCCAACACAAGTTTAATCTCTAGTGTCACCTAGGGAATCCTATATATTTTATGGAAGATAATTAATTCGATGGAACTGCTCTCAAAGTTTTGGATACGGGAACTTCGATCTCAAAGATTAATACCCCCCGGAAAACCTCTCTTCGTCGATGATGAAACGATCGATCGAGGCGAACGATTGTTAATCGATACTCCATCCGGATCGATTTCGTCTCTCTGAAAAATTCATGTGTATCTCCTCCTTCCTCCTAAAAATCGACGACTGTTTTCACAACACCAGTTTTCATTCAGACCAATCCTCCTCGTATACACACGTATATGATACAACGATCCCTTCGAGTTTTGTGGAAGAAGAAAAGCTCCCCCTTCACCCCTTCCATCGTATCTTATCGGAGAGGCCCGATCGATTTCCTTTAATTAATCCAGCCGCGCGTACACACGATCCACCCCCGACGATCGGGGTGGCGTAATGTTGGCGCGTGTCCCATTAATGGCGGGGAATAATTCGTCG